GTGTATCTTACAGATATGGTACTGATGTCTGGAATGACATGCAGATGGTTTTGGAAAAGTGTTTATTTTTGAGGGAGGTGTTACTAATCTTAAGTCTTCCTTTGAAGAGGAAGAGGAAGAAGGGTTACAGGTTCTGGTGAACTACTGTAGGAGCTGGGCAGGGGTGTGGGTAGGAAGTGGGAGACATTCAGAACAGCTACACCAGAGCTGCAGCCTTAGGCCATTGTCCTAACAAAGCTACACACTGAAGCCCAGGAACAGGTAGGCTACTTCTTACTCTGGAGTTCTTTTATATAATAATAATAATTTTTTATTTAAGTTTTTACGCATATTACTCTCAGCTCCCTCTCCCTCTCCCTCCACTTCTCCACGGAATCCCTCATTCTCCCAATAACCGCCCCCTACTCCATTCTCACTCTGCTCTCCAGGTAGGGTAAGGTCTTTCATGAAGGATTTTCAGAGTTTGTCATATCATCCTTATTAGGCCCTAGGTCCTCCCCCTTGTGTCCAGGCTGAGAGAGTATCCCTCCATGTGGAATGGGCTCCCAGAGTCTACTCTCCAAGGTCCCATAGATTGCTGAGGCCTCTTCTCTGATACCCAGGTTCGGGGTGGGTGTCTGGTTTAGTCCTATGCTGGCCTCTCAGTCATCAGTCTGGGGTCATGTGTTCCCCCTTGTTTAGGTCAGCTGCCTTACCCTGGATTTTTAAATACAATCCATCTTCTGACCTCACTGCTTCACTAAAATGACTGTATGTTGTTCCCATAAAGCAGTGGTAACACACTACATGTTCACTGGCTCTTTCTTTTCTACCTTTCTTTAGGAGATTTGACATTTAGATTCTCAGTCATTAGCTTCATTTTTCTGTTCGACTCAGTGGCAGACACTCTAGACTTTCTAGCTATTAAGTACAGCATTACTAAGGAAACGTTTGCCATTTTGATTTCTAATGATGAAAAGAGAGTACTAACCCAAATTACTGAATAACATATAAACCCAAAAGAAAACCCTTTCTCCCTTTAGGACCCTTAAAATTAAACAATGTACACGTCCCTTCATTTTCCTCCCTAAATACCAAATTGCAATTTTATGCTCAAATTTCTTTTCCCCAGTGGAAAAAGACTCCAGTGTCTCCGGGGGAGGACAGAAATTAAAAAGATAAGTGTGGTGGCTGACACCACTAACACTACCTTTTGGAGGCACAGGCAGGAGGATCAAGAATTCCAAGCCAGTTAGGGTACATAGGGAGGTCTAGCCTGGTCTGGGATGCTGGAAACTTTTCAAAAATAAGTAAACAAAGCAACAAACAATAGAGCAAAGCCCCTGAGGTTTGATCCTCAGCACAGAGGCTGAAGCCTGCTGAGATGCACAGGACCTTGTGTTCATGTTCCCATTACTGCAAAACCAAGTCCACCAGCTATTTCCCAGCAGGTGAGAGACATCCAATGTGTGAGCCCCTGCAGGAATCAGAATGGAGAGTCTGGGACATTCTAGATGGTTCCACAGATGTCCTAGGTGACTATTTTCTCCTTCAGGTGGATGAACAGGAGGAAAGCAACATCACTGATATGGTCCAGAGTAATATGCGCTTAGGTAGAGCTGGTGAGTGCTTCTAGACCATTTCCATAGGGAGCAGAGTTGAGGGGTGGGGAAGCTGTGCCCTGAGGAGGCCTGGGCAGGGGTCCTGGGGTGGTAGAGCACTTTGCCCTATCCTGGCCCTGCTACCCAGAAAGTTAACTGATGCTCAGCCTTATGCTCAGGCTTAAGCTGCCCCTGGAGCACCAACTTGGGTCCATGGCTCTAACCACAGGTTCTTGACTTCCTTCACCCAGTGCTCTTCTAGATATGTAGCCAGGACCACAGTCTTTCTCCTTCTTGTGTGAAGGCAGGTTAGTTAGTTCACACCTCATTTTTTTTAACCTTCCCTTTTTTTCAACCTGTTTAGTTCAAGGTTTCCCATGGAGGTATGATGTATCTCACCATCAGTTAAAGTGATAGCAAACTCTTGCAGTCACCATGGAGTGTCTCATCCATATTATATCAGTTCAGAGACTTAATCTCTATTTCCAAGTCCATTCACAAGTGATCACTCTGCCTACATCATCTTCTTCAAGACCTCCTCAATCCCAGCTTTGCTATTGCTGTGTTTCCTTTGGTTGTTCTTGTAACAACATGGATGAACAAACAGCCCCGGTTGTCCTATTGACACTGAAGCCATGTCATGTCAGTTCTGAGAGGTACTGTAAGGATTCCTGTTTCACTCAGGAAAAATCCAGTAGGTATACAGCGTACACAATAAACCTTTGACGTTTATTATTGCACTTCTGGGGCGTCTGGTGTTTGAATTTCAGCCACCCTGTTGCTTCGGGCTGTCTTCTCATCCCAGGACTTTGTACTTAGTGACTGCTTCCATTCTTTGTGCTCTCCCAGGTAACCACAGGACTATTAATCTCGTTTCTCTAGGTATATGTCAATTAGGTAGGATTCAGGACTGACATTCTCATTGGGATCTAAAACTATACCTGCCTACATCATTGACTGTCCTTTTATTTTTTCTATGTCTCTACAGCACTATATACATCATGATATGGTATTTTTACACATTTATTTGCTGTCACCTTTGCATCATCTAATGAATCTCAGGTAGCAGAAAGTGCTTTTGTCTTGCTCACTCTTCACCACCAACACAGGTATATGGTATTTGTTGTGAGGGAATGGATGGGGAAATGAGGAAACCACTTGGGTTTTATTATGGACATTTGTACCTGTTCTGTAGTTCTAACTGGTGTGTGGGAAATTGAAGTCCTTTTACATTCATAGAGAGTAGGGGTGTCAAGACTCTCAGGGAGAGTAAAAAAGGAAAAAAAACACACTCTAATACCAAACAGAGATCTGCATAGAATCATGAAGCACTGTGTGTTATATGAGCTCCCACACAGAAGCACATGCAGAGTGGAGGCACAGCAGGTCATCTCCTCTGTCTAATCTACACATCTAGTGGATACAGTTGTGTAGAAAGCCACAGCCTCAGAACCCTTTTCAATGTGACTACAGACACTGGTTCATACATTCCAGTGGGGGGTGGCCACCCACCAGTTCTCAACTGGATTTCAGTGTTTGCTCAAATGTTAAGAAAAACAAATAATGAGATTAAGAACATCTGCAGACCTCATGAACCCCACAAACTGATATTTTGCTGCTATCACTCACATGGTTATCATACCCCAGTGAAAGCTTGAATAACTTTCCTCTTATTTATAACAATATTCAGTACTCAGGTGTCTCCATGATGCATATGGACCAGAGTAGGAGAAACAAAATATTTTGGTAGGCAGTGTGAAGTAAAGGTTGGCATTATATCAAGGCAGGTTTGCAGTCTGCTCTGTAAATGATCCGTAAAGACATGTCTATATGATAGACAGAATAGATCTTCAAAGGTCATAAAACTAGCAGCAAAGAACCTGGAAAAACTGAACTCATGGGTCCCTTTTGGTAGGTTTCACTCAGGGTGACACTTTCTGTTGACTTGTAGGAACCTCTGGGAACATTTTGTATGGCACACTGGGAAGATACAGCAAACTGGCACTTATTATGAAGAGACATCAGATTCTTTTGAAATAACCAATAATGTTCAAGAGACAAATGTTCCTTCCCCACCAATTCTGACGCCCTACTTACATTTCTAAGTCTTCACAGTCTCCAAATGCTATTTGGAGTGAATGACCTGTCACTGCTAGTCAGTCCCTTAGAACATAGCACAGTCTTGGGGTCAGGTGTGCAGGGCACAGAGAGAGTTAAGGGAAAACCTGCTTTCCTAGCTCTATAAGACCCATTTGAATGACAACCTTAATGATGGCGTGAATTTTTCAAACCACAGAAAACCAGAACTATGGAAATCTGCCCAGTGTGTCTGGTTGTATTTTGAGGACTAGGCTGAAGGCCAATTCTAGGGCACAAGCTCACACTTCCTCTAGGTGGGGATTTTCTTTTCATATTTGTCACTAGAAAGACTGGTAGATGCAGAGGACGACAAAGCAGACCGACATGGGAAGAAATGCAGCAAACAGCAGGACACCTTCATCAAGTGTGCGCTGCTGATGGGTGAGATTCAGAGAGGCGGGCAGCCAAGGCAAGGGTGGCTCAGAGCTACGTGTGAATTCATAGCAGGTGAGAGCAGGGAGGCACAAGGAGCAGAGAAGAGGTCACTGCTGACGTTACTGTGCAAGGTCATCCCTGCCAACCCAGGTTAGATAATCCACAGGGCACAGACGCAACCTCCCTGGAAGCACAAATGCTGTCCTATCCTTTCAGTTTTCCTCTCCTTATTTTAGTTCTAGCTCCCGGGTTTGTGACACAGACTCCAGTGTGATAGTCGTCTGCAAGGTCTTTTCACTGAATGTGAACACGGGGAACGAGAAGGTTGTGACACAGGAAGCATTACAAAAGGAAGCCTGCCTAAATGACAGCTGTCACCACATCCTGACACAGCTCAGGTCTCTCACAGATGGAGAGAAGATCCTTAGCTGCTGCTTTACAGTAAAGAAAACCACAGTGAAGAAGATTCTTCAGACACAGGTTTCCACAGTCAGCTACAGCAGAAGCAGCGCACAGAGACCTCTTCTCCACAGGCAGAGGCCTCAGGATGTAAGGAATTAAATAGTTGACTCTGAGCCTGGAAGCAAGTTGAGAATGAGATGCAGCAGCCTCACTCACACTGCAGAGATATTCCATTACCTGAAGTGCCAATTAACAACCATTTTAAGGAGAGGGATAAGAGGAAGTCAAAACAATTGAATGTGTTTATGTTAAGGTCCTCAACTTGAAGGACTGGCTGAGACCATCCACGAGGCAGTCCTGTCCACCTCCCAACAAAGCACCCCAGCTTCCAAGCTGAGGATCCCCACACTCAGGCTGTTCCTAAATGTCTTGTTACCTCTCAGTGCTTTAGAGAAAAGAGTTAGTGAGGGTTAGAATTTAGATCTGAATGCTCCTGCCCCTTACCAGAGTATCCTGAGTTGAGTGTATGCGCTCCCTGTAGTTCAGTTTCAGGAACCACTGTCTACTGTGCTCCAAACTCTTTGTACAGACCCACCCATGCCTTCTCTGCAGGACTTACATACTCCTCTGACTTCTGCCCCTCTCCACTTTAAGGGTGTTTTGTCCAATCACGGAAGAGCATGGATCTAGTTGCTTTTCAGAATCATCTGGGTTTCCAAGAAGAGGAAAGTGAAATAAAATGAACAGCTGTTTGTAAGTCTGTCAACACTTCATTTCTTGGCAGGAAAATCTGGCTTTCTTACAATAACAATGTGGAATGGGGCTTGTACAAAGAAGGGGAACACAGAGAAGCAGCTTACTAGCTGGTCTGGACAGCAACCCTTGAGAATTACTTTTCCTGACTCAACAAATGCAGCCTGAACTAAAGTGACACAACACATTGGCTGGGTCCTAACGTTGATGCCAATTTTGGTCTCAACCAAGAAACAACCCATTTGATCCTCTCTGTATACATCGTTATTTATTCACGATTATAGATTCATGTTCTTTAATTCTTGCCATTGTCAATTCTCCTCTCAATGCTGGGATTAAATCTGGCTTGGGTTTGACAGGTCTTTCACATGCTGTCACATTCACAGTCAGTTTATATGTGTAGCTGCCTTGCTGAGTCCAGAAGTCAGTTTCCTTGCATTTGTCCACAACTCTGACTCTTACAGTCTTTTCACCCTTTCTTCCACAACCATTCCTATGCCTTTGGAAGTGGAAAAAGTATATTCCACTTAATGCTGGACATTTATCAATCTCTTTTTTGATGCATCTTGGCCAGTTGTTGCTATCTGTATTGAATATCATCTAATGCAAACAAGAGCTTCTATGATAAGGGTTAAGCAATTCCTTAGTCCACGGGTATTACAGAAAATTATTGGGAACTGGTTTAATATAATGAACTTTTAGCTGAATAATAGTAATAGGTTTTCACTGGGGTGTATGACCAACATAGCCTTAGATGAATGTCTAGATAGCTTACCAAATATAGATATCATCAGTGGAATAGTATTAAATCCAATCAGGATGTAGTCGGTTTCTACCATGGCATCTTTATCACTATTACATTGGTGGTTATATCTTATCTGGACAGTCATTATTTTTGATCACCTGGGTGTGGTCAATATTTTATTTTCTTCTCTGCTCATGAGGCTAGAAATGTCCAGCTCTATGAAAGCTAAATATTAGGGATAGATCTTTTGGGTCAGATCAGCTTGATTTCAGATAAGTTACATTTTCTGTAACTCAGGAATGTGGTGTTTTCACTCACAGGATCCTACTACCAAGTTCTGGAAGGCAACCGAGAGCACTGACAATAGCCTGTAATTATCATGGTCACCACTTGTCAACAAGTCCATAAAAGTTAAGTAATTCCTGGGTCTGGGCTTTTTATTTGTTACCCTGTGCTGTCCAACAGGGACATTGTTGCCTCAGTAAAGGGCAACTCCATCTTCTTTTAATATGTTTGTAGATATATTACTGGAAACCTCTACATTTTGAAAACCCTTTCATGTTCTTTAGTCATTCAACTTTCAGTCATGTTCCCTATTGTTACCTCCCAGCTCAATTTAACCCTTCTTTTTCCATAATTCTCTTTTAAGTCCCATCTTCCCTGTTTTAAAAATCCCACTTCATGGCACCATAGCAATTTCAATACCTCTGTGGGTATTCCAAATGGAACACACATATCTAAGGGCGGAAGCCAAGATCTGTACATGAGAGGGATTAAACGATATTTGTCCCTCTGGGCTTTTCTTTAAAAATGGTTGCGTTCATCTAAATCCATTTCCTCACAGATTTCATAGTTTCCATTTTGTTAGCAGATGAGTAATACTGCATTCTGCAGAGCTGCACATTTTCATCATCTATTATTCATCAGTTGATGGGCATCTAGACTGCTTCCATATCTTGGCTATTGTGAATAAAGGATGAATGATGGAGAGTGAGTAGCTCAGTAGTAGGAGATAAAAATCATTGCCAGGTGTGGTGCAGTTGGATCATGATGTAAATCAATTTTCCCTTGTTGTGGTGCTTCCACACATTACCTCAGTAACTGTCCTAGCTGTCCTCCCACCTCAGCGACTGAGTATTCTACTTTCCCTGCCTCCACAACAGCATTTGTTGCCATTTGTATTTTTGTTTCTAGTCACTCTGACTGGAGTGAGGTGAAATCTTAAAGTGGTTATGACTTGTGTTTCCTTGATGGATAAGAATGTTGTTCATTTAATAACTGTTTCTCACCCCTGGCAAACTAAGCAACCACAAGTCTGCTGATATCCCTGGACTACTACAGTCTCCACTCAGGGGAGAGGTTAACTTGGGCCCCTTCTCAGGCTCCACTTCTACTTGCCCACTCTGGAGTCTACTGGCCTGGGGACTGTAGGCAGGTCAACTCACCCATGGCAGATCAAGCAACTGCAAGTCTGCTGACAGCACTTGCTAGTCCAGCTCCCACCACTGGGAGACGGAGTGCCTCATACATGCCTGCACCCACCATGAGACCCATCAAAGTATTTGACCTGCTTGCACCAACTGGAAGAGAACATTTGGCCTGTGTACATCAGGAGAAGAAGAGACCCCTCCTGTGCTCACTGGAAGAAGGAATGGGAAGACAACAATATAAGAACACATTCAACAACAGAAAAAACAATGTGACACCAGCAGAGTCTAGGGAATGTATACCAGCAAGACATGAACATCCTAACACATATGAAGCAGAAAATAGTACCATTAAAAACTACTTCATGAAGATGATAGAGACCCTAAAAGAGCAAATGAGAAAATCATTTAAAGAAATGAAAGAAAAGAAAAGACTAACAAAACTTGCAAGAAACAATTTAAACAGTGCGAGATTTGATAGCTGAAATAAAGTCAATTTAAAAAATCCACAGTCTGAGGGAATGCTGGAATTAGAAAAGATCAGGAACTACAGATGCAAGCATAGCCAACAGAAAACAAGCTATGGAAAAGAGAATCTCAGGCATTGAAAGACACACTAGGAGAAATAGGTTCATTGACCAAACAAAATCTTAAGTCCAACAAATTCCTAGCACAAAATATCCAGGAAATATCTGACACTGTGAAAAGGCCAAACCTAAGAATAATAAGTATAGAAGAAGGTGAAGAAACCCAACTCAAATGTGCAGAAAACATATTCAACAAAATCACAGAAGATAACTTTCCCTACCTAAAGAAAGACATGCCAATGAAAGTACAAGAAAATTACAGAACACCAAAGAGAGTGGACCAGAAAAAGTCCCCGCTTCACATAATACTCAAAACACAAAACATACAGAATCAAGATATACTATTAAGAGCAACAAAGGAAGACGTTCAAGTATCATATAAAGACAAACCTATCTGAATTATACCTGACTTTTCCATGGAAACTCTCAAAGTCAGAAGGTCGTAGATAGATATTCTACAAATACTAAGAGATCACGGATGCCAGATTAGACCTCTATACCCAGCAAAACTTTCAATCACTGTATATGGAGAAAACAAGATATTCCGCCACAACACCAGATTTAAAAATACATATCCACTTATCCAGCCCTACAGAAAGTACCGGATAAAAAACTCCAATATAAGGAAGTTATCTACTCTCACAAAAACATAGGCAATAGATAATCCCACCTTACCAAAAGAAAAAGCAGGGTAATCCACACATAAAAGTACCACTATCAACAAATCCAAATCAAACAAGAATTAATCCTCAATGGTCTTTAATTTCCTTCAAGATGAATGGTCTTAACTTGCCTATAAAAAGACACAGGCTAACAGAATGGATATGAAAACAGTATCCAGCCATCCTTCTGCTGAATATAAGACACACACCTCAAAGACAGACATTACCTCAGAGTAAAGGGTTGAGATGAGATTTTCCAATCAAATGGACACAAGAAACAAGCTGGTATAGCTATTCAAGTATTTAACAAAATAGACTTAAAACTAAAATTAGTCAAAAGAGATGAAGAAGGGCATTTTGTATTCATTAAGATGAAGTCTGAATTCTGAACATCTATGCCCCCAAAAATGCGGATTGATCCATGTTTATCACCATGCACAAAACTTAAGTCCAAATGGATCAAAGACTTCAACATAAATCCAGCCACACTGAAACTCTTAGAAGAGAAAGTGGGTGGTACCCTTGAACGAACTGGTGCAGGAGACAGCTTCATGAACATAACACCAGTAGCACAGACAGTGAGATCAACAATTAATAAATGGGACCTCCTGAAACTGAGAAGCTTCTGTAAGGCAAAGGACACAGTCAGCAAGACAAAAAGGCAGCCCACAGAATGGGAAAAGATACTCACTAACTCCACATCTGACATAGGGCTTATCTCCAATGTTTACAAAGAACTCAAGAAGCAAGTCTCCAAAACACCAAAGGATCCAATTAAAAAGTGGGCTGCAGAACTAAATAGAGAATTTTCAATAGAGGAGTCTAAAATGGCTGAAGGGCCATCCGGGAAATGCAACTCAAAACAACTCTGAGATACCATCTCACTCCTGTCACAATGGCTAAAATCAAAAACACCAACGATAATTTTTGCTGGAGAGGATGTGATAAAAGGGGAACAATCCTCCATTGCTGGTGGGAATGCCAATTTGTTAAGCCACTTTGGAAATCAGTATTTTCCTCAGAAAAATGGGAATAAACCTACCGCAAGACCCAGAAATTCCGCTCTTAGGCACATATCCAAAAGATGCCCATTCATACAACAAGAATGTCTGTTCCATTATGTTCATATTTTTAATAGCCAGAACTTGGAAGCAACCTAGATGCACCTCAACCAAAGAGTGGATAGAGAAAATGTGGTATATTTACACAATGGAGTACTATTCAGCAGAAAAAAACAATAAAAACCAATGGAATCCTGAGATTTGCAGGCAAATGGATGGCAATACAAGAAACTATCCTGAGTGAGGTAACACAGTCACAAAAATAGAAAGATGGCATGTACTCTCTCATACATGGATTTTAGACATTGATCTGAGTGCCAGCCTACAATCCTATGGCCAGAGAGTCTGGGAAACAGAACCTTCATTCAGTGGCTGATGGAAGAAG